ACAAAAAAACTTAGAATCCTCAGGTTGTACTTGTTTTAGCCGAATATGATAGACGCACCTAGCCTGTCCTCAAAAAAGTTAAAAAGCCCTATCTCAAAAGAACAAAATTTTACAGGAGACTAGGAAAACCAATTTTTTCTACAGCATCACAGTTTTGATATTTTTAAATGAATTTAATGTGCAAATGATTTTGTTTCAATGTTAAAATTATGATTTTAATGTTAACATAAGAATATTTAATTTTTTTAGGAGAAAAATGGATGTAGGGCTTTTTATTTTAAAGTTGGATGCTGACATATCAGATTCTAAGAAGCGCTAACTCCCTCGTATAGGCAGTTAAAGCTTTTTACTTTAAAAATTAACTAATGTTATACATATCTACTGAACATAAACGGTTTATAGGTTATTCCACGAATATACGACTGTTTTGGTTTACTGCGACAACGAATATTTTACTGTGCAAGTAGAAGTATGAAGGTCAATTGGTCTAATCATTATTCCAATAAAAAGGGTCTACTAGTATGACATCTAAACTAAAATTATTTCAGTTAAAATCTACAAATAAATGCAATGACGTCTATAAAGCCAAATGTATTCATCAGACATTTGGGTAAGCTTTCCGTGAAATGTAAACACCAAAGAGGCGTTCCGGGTTTCTTTGATATAACACATTTTATTACTTTATTAGGTATTACAACTGTAATAAAAAGAAATATACTATTTTTAATATAAATGAACAGAAATTGGCAGAACGATGGTTCACAAACCAGAAAAAGGATCTAATATTTCACTTTGTTAGTTTTAACTATTTGTTTGCTTTGAGTTTATGTACTCTTAAAAGTTCCGAAAGTAACGGGTGTAACATACCGGCTATTGATACTTAAAGTACCGAGTCGTTACAGATATTAAAAAGTAACGAAAATTTATATACAATTTCATATATCGCCGACTGATTATAGCTGTGAATCTGATCGTTGATGATAGTTTTAGAAGATTAAGAGAATAAGTGAATAAGTAAGGTTTTTGTTTTTTTAATTTTAATTCAATATTCGACTAAAAAATTTACACTAAGTATTGTTACATTTCGTTTAAATTACATAATGCAAAAACCAACTTGTTTACAATGAAATAATTAAAATGAAAAATTAAACTCCATGATAGTAATTATATACTTCAAAATCTGAATTACAACTGTTTTATAAACTATTAACTTTATATTTATATCCTGACTTCATATTTAAATCTAAGGTTTATATCTGTCGTAACAGTATTTTAAAAACGGGGAGAATTTACTATTGTACAATTCAATACATTGGACCATTTAAATCGACACCTTAAAGCGAATTTAAAACAGTCGTATATTCGTGGAATGGAGTATATTGAAAATACAACTTATGTTTTTAAGATCTGTGTAATATCTAAAAATGAATAGACAAATAAAAATTTGAAGTTATAAAATAATTTAAAACTAAGTAACATAAGGGAAAAATTGGTTTTATGACTCATTCAGCATCAGTCAGTGTTTAATAAACCTGGCTCCTTTGACTCTTGAATGGTTAACCAAAATCCACGGCGATTAGATGATGGCCTAAGAGGGCACAATTGTTCAACTATTTCTTTTTTCTTTGCTTTATTAAATCCGCTTACTTCTTTAGTTTTCTCAGGCATTGGAAAGTTTTTGATATATTTAGCTTGTAAGAAATTTAGCACTTTGGTATTAGATTTTTGGTAATCAGTGGAATATAGTAGATTTGTATTGCCTCGCTTAGCTATTATTTTTACAATGTCTGTAAGTAACGGAACGCTATCTTGCCACGATGCTTAAGTTTTGGCTTGGAAGTGTAGTCTTTCCAAGCGAAAAGATCCTCACCACTAAGCTCATGTGTTTCCATTTTCCCTAAGTTTGCTTGCTGAACACACTTAACAAAATCTTGGAAATCGTGCACTTTTCCACTATGCTTTATAGCTAATTCTACCTGATGGTTAAAGGAGTCAGCAGACATAAAAGTGTGACCTCTGGTTTGAAATAAAAAATATCAATGGGGTCGACAGAAATCTCCGGTCAATAATTAATAATATACACCAAAAAGGTAAAGAAAATCCAGTTCTTATTTTGTGCTGAGCAATTGTCCAGCCAAATACAAATATGTTTTACATCTCTGAAATTGTAAAAAAACGAGTAAAAGGCATTTAGGATGTCTTCCTTTTTTCTTCCACTTATTACCTCATGTCACAATACCGCGAGAGGTTTGGTCTTACGTTTAGTTACTTTGTACCAATAGGTACAAAACTTTTATTAAATACTACCATTCTTCGAGTAAACACGACTTCTTTAAAGGAATCCATACGTGGCAACATGATGACTTTTTAAATATCATCACAAAAGAACATGGTGTCATTGGAAGATTTTAGTTTTGTATGCTCTTTATATAATTGACTCTGTAGCTTTTGCCATATGGCTCTTTCAACAGATGCAAACCAAACAATCTGATGATAAGTTTTCCTGACTGTGGTATTTATTATGTTCTTTAAACTTGAAGCACATGCCACATTCTTCATGGCCGAGTTTCGTGAATGATGTATTGAGTTCATTAACAACTTTTCTGTATAAATCGTAAGAACAGTCACAAAAGTTTTTACTTCGTCTAAAGTCATCATACATCCTTTGAATGGTCACATTATTTGGGAGGTATCGGTGATTTGGTGTATGTTTTCTTCTGTAATGAGCAATACTTGGGTTGTAACTCTCTAACTAATGACGCTTCTGTAAATTTTCTTATGATTAGAATGCTTTCCCCTTTGGTCGGTTACACCTGACGCCAGACTTGTCAGTGTATTTTTGTCACCAGATGTTAGGGTATCATAAATAACGGAGTTATTTTATCTAGAAATTCCAAGAGTCGCTAGAAAAACTTAGAAGTATACCCTCTTTCGCATTTTTGGCCATTAAAAAAATATCGAAATGACTTGTGTTTGGTTTGCGATATACCTCGATGTCTTGTTACCAGGAGCGCAGTGGCGCATAAGACGGTGAAAGTCTCGTCTTTCGGTGAAATTTTTATTCCAAAATTCGGCGTTACATTGCTGTCGCCACTCTTCCGAAAATTCTATACAACATGTGTAGCGAAATTTATCACCACAAAGATCGCGCGTGGAATGATCTTCTTTCAACTTTTTTATTCTGTTTCATACTTTTTCTTTTAAAGTTGTACTTGTTTTCTTCCGTATTCTTTTAGTTCCACTTTTTGCAAGACCAAGTTCTTCATTTTCTCTATCTGGTTCTTGTTCTAAATCTAACTGCTGTTCTTTTTCTTGAGGTTCTTCATTATGAATTACACTATTGTTTACAGTTTTTATTTCTCTTTACACTTGATCATTTTTACCTTGAAAATTTTGGTTTAAATTTGATGAATTAAAATCTTCTAATGTGTCAATGAACTGTGGTTATGATTCGAATTTTTTATTTTCTGTTTGTATTGCTTCTGGTATAACCGTGTTATTTAAAGTTTCTACTTCACTGCGGACTGGCACATTTTGAGATGGAGTAAATACCTTAAGTGTTGTGTAGATTAACGTATTTTCTTTTTATTCGTTACATTTTGAAAAATTCTGATCTGGATTATTTAAAAGTTTCGCAAGTTGCAGAAAATTTAAGGAGTCCATATCTTCTTTCAATCACTGGATAAGCAGGTAGTATTTCGGTTTCAAATTGAGCCTCTATAATTAAGGGAGTTGCACTGTCATCTGCCATTGGTTGCGGATCTTTTTTTAAGTTGGATTCAGTCTTATTAAGACCATCATTGAGTTGTTGATTTTGTTTAGACAACATCGATAGCATTAAAGCTCTTCTTTATAAATTACGTCTAGGTATCATTGATTGAACGTTTTAAAGTGCCAAAATTATTATTAAACTGCCCACCTAAAATACATAAAAATATCTTATGCAAAAGATGAACTGACTAGCTCAAAACAAATAATTGGATGTTATAATTTTTGTTACTAATGCAAAAACTAGACAATATAAGAATTTACAAAAAGATAAACAAATTCTTTAAAAATCTTAATCCAAACCGACAGGAAGATAATCTAATACTATTAAATTTTTTAAAGTGAAAAATAGAAAAGCAACTTTAATATCTGTTAAAATATTCTAGTGTTTGTGTAACGTTCATTTAATAAATTTTTGATAATGTTAGTTTTTCCCACTCTTTTTTAACTGTAATTTTACAAGTTTCATTTTCTGTTTTTACTATATATACTATATTTTCAATTTTCGAGCAAGCAACTTTTAAACTGTGTCCAAATTGGTAATATTAGTTAAGCAACAATGTTGTTTAATTAAAATTAAATTCAATATCCTAGACTATTAAATTTTGAGGTTAACGTAGGTACAACTTTACTGATAACTGAATATCTTTAAATACATAATATGAATGAACTTACCTGATTAAATGATGCGAAAAATAAAATGGATATTATATCTTCTTTTGAAGACGGGATCTTAAAATTGCAACTAAACAAAATAAATTCACAAGCGAAAGTACTCATTTTGTGGATCGAAAGCAGTACTCGTCATCGTCAAACAATTAATGACAATAAAACTGGCAAAAGCCACGTCAAAACAGCCAGTCGCGTCATATCATTTGATGAAAAAATACCTTAACTCCAAAAACTACTCCTCGGTATTTCACAGAAGATGGCCTTAATTCCGAATTCATAGGCGTAATTTGAAGAAAAAAGACCCTAAATACAAATGTTTGTGAATTTGGGGTACTTTTAGTTCTTTTTCGACGACATTTATAGGTGTATTTTTATACGCCGATTCATAAGTGCCCATAAAAACATTTACAAAAATGTTGGAGTTAGGGCCTTTTAGCTTATGAGGGCAGTACTGTGATGAGCAATTCCTTATGATTCCGTTATTGGTATTATTTATTTCGGCGTTTACCGTATTTTTATTAAATTATTTAAACGGTTTCCAAAAAATATTTTTAATATTTTTGAAAATAAATATTTATCATATCTGGCTTGACTTTATCTCCGAATTTCTTCCAATTCATAAATAGATTCGTCGTCATCGTCGGAGTCAGAAGAACTCTCAATACTTAATTCTTCAATTTCATCTGCTTCTGAAAAATAAAATGAAAATAATAAATTGTTGGTTTTACAAAATTGATTTTACATTTAACTATGGGCCTGTTCAAATTGATGGCTACTATACTATTTTTAATTGTATCGCTGATATTCTAGCTGAATCAAAACGAGCGGCCATCGCGCACTTCTGCTCTGACATTGGTTAAAGACACTTGGGTTTAAAGTAGGAGGCCAGGGATGGCTTAAAAGTTTTTTAGCATATTAAAGTTTTTTTTGGGAAGTAGAAGTAGCAGAAAGTTTGTTTTGGTTTTTTGAGTGTCCTGTTTGGTTTGTAGCCGCTCTAAGCCGGTAAGTGGAGTTAATTATCAATAAAAAACCATCAGGGATTTCAATATCCTATAATATTGTCATTTTTCCTGTGATAGTCGACATATATATCTAAAATTTTTCATTAAGAACTTTTCAACGTCTAAATCGAAAATGTTACTGATATAAAATCATATGTATTTTAATTTTACTTCTCGGCTTTAATAACATAATTATCTATCTTTAAAACTATCTATTATCTATTAAGAGTATCTATAAAAATATTCTGCCTCATTCCGTTCTTTTATATTCTAAAATATATCCATAGCATGATCTTTGTTAAAATTGTCTATATAATTAACCCATTTTACTTAAAATATTGTCCAAACCATACGAAGGTTACATTATTTACAAAACCATTTGCTTTTGGATTGGATTGGATTTTTTTGCTTTCATAGTTCATTAGAAACTTTTATAAAACCTTTCAAGGTTCATAAACCTTGTGTTTTCCTAATTTTTATCAAGAGTAAGAAAGAACTCTAACACAAATGTTCTTTTTAGCCTACTATAGGAGTCAAGCAGAAGTCACGGGAAAGAATTCTGTATTTTGTTTTTTTTTTGGATTTTGGTTTTATAGAGAAATAATTAAGTGTTGCACTTACAACACAAGTGAAGCACAGTTACACAAGTGAAGCACTCTTCGCTACCACCCGTATGTGCTCCCTCTATCTGCCATATTGGTGTAGTGTCACTCCCAGATATTTGATGCTTATCTTTGATGTTAGTTGTACCCCTGAACATTGGATTCCTTGTCTTTTCCGATAGCAGTACTTAATCTTATGTCAGTAATTACCTCAGATATATGAATGTATTGGACATCTTCCAGTTTTATATTATCGATTATAGGTCTGATTATCTTAAAATATGATTATTTAACTTAGAGGAGCAAATATGGCACATATCCTAGCTGGCTAATTTGAGGAAGTGGACTGGTCTAACGTCAAATTTATTTCGAGCTGCTGTGAATGTAATAAGATGGGTCAATGTGGTCACCAACATCTCTAGAAGATAGGCACACTTAGAAGAAGCAAATATATTTTGACTTTTATTTTGGGTCTCATTTTCAGTGCAGATGTCGTTAATGGCAGAAATGCCTCAGTGCACCGAGCATAATGATATCAATGTATATCACTATAATATCTCTATTTGTTTTTCTATCGGTCCGTATGATTATGTGCATTCTAATATAGCATCAAAGAACACTATTACACCATTAAAAAAGTGCATCTCTACTTTCCTTCTTCTTTTAAATAGATACCCTTGATTGGAAGTTTGCTAACGGCAGCCCAAGACGTTACTAAAATGTTTTGATTGATAAAAGAAAATTCAGGCATGTGGCTTGGCTTTAGACAGACTATGAAATTATTTGGGTATGTGAATGTGTTTGAAAACTATCAAAGAAAAACAGAGAAATCCAAATTGTATTAATCGCCATGCCTCATCCAATCGAGACTTTGTTTCTCTCCATCGCCAACTATTCTCATGACCTACATCCTCAACATCTACTGTTATATCAAAATTTACACTAGGCTCTCTCCTTTTGTCATTTATTCATCTTTCTCAGCCCACTCCAAATCACTTTTTCAATGGATCTAACTTTTCCATCATTCCCCACTTCTTTCTAGCCTTCTAAACTTCACATCTGACCCTAATGCCTAATGTTTGTTTTTCATCCTCACACAATAATTGAATTCCTCATATGTACATCCCCTCATATTTTTGTGTAATGTAATTTTTTAACATGTAGGGCCTTTTTACTTAAGTTATAAGTTAAGTAATATACTAGCAGTATTTGAATTAAACAGTCACTCTGACCACATCCTATATCTATCACATAATTATACACATCAATCAATATTTTACTCGGTAATAATACATATAATTCACAATATTACAGAAATCCTCATACTATTAACACAACTGCTTAACTTCATCGCCCTTCCATTTTTGTTTATCACATACTTTATTTTACTTAGTCACACATACATTCTTCAGGTTATGGTTTTGGACCTCTGGAGATCTCAGCCTCTTGTAGAGTCTTTTCTCACATCTACATTAAAACATCACATATTATAACTTCAGCCAAACAGAGCCAACTTTAGACCATCAATTTTTGTTGGCTTTACTTATTATGTCAACACACAATAATATTTAATTAACTTTATTAATTTATGTTCATGAATTTATAAATTATACTTCTTACATTTTCCTGGTACCAAATATTACTTTTTAATATGTAAGTATAGGGTCTTTTCTACTTATGTTATAAGTTAAGTAATATACGAACAGTACCATTACAAAATTGATTCTATTCACACTTCATCTCATAAGCATTTTCAAATACATCAATTAATATTTCACTCTGCAATAATAAAATGTTAAAAAACGTTTTATAAAAATATTTAATTCACCACCACTGCATTCAGATATCTGTATAGTTGGTTGCCTACCGCCCCTACCGGTACTCACAACTTTTTACCAAACTTTAGTTAACGTACATTATTAAGAATTTTTCAAATTTCCCAACGTAAGTTTAGGATAAATCATACTTCAAACTACATCATATTGATGGTTGCTAATGTTATTGTTAATAAAATTTTAACACATTTAATTTTAAATATTGCTCGCTAATATCATATTCAGACACATACCTCAAGTTACATTGACTGCTTTGTTAGGACTTCCGTCATAACATGTCATTTTATATCATAACTTATACCAAGTATTCTTTGTTTTATTATTTTTTGTATATAATTACAATGAAGGTATTTTAGGGTAAGGAATTTAATTTGAAAAGCATTCTCTAACTAGATTCTTATATATACTTTCTTTCAAAGAAAATTTACATGTTTTAAAAAACTAAATCTTATAAATGGCAGTTGACACTTCTAAGACAACATTTCTACAGTTAAGACAGCCGTCTTTGTACTCTCGCCACATCATAACCTATTACAGCCACCTCATAGCTGCTTTTCTATGAAATTCTACATTATGAATGATCAAACTTTTTAATCACAAATTAATCCCTTAATTTGTAATCTGACATTAACTTCTTAATCTTTTATAGTTTCATTGTGTATAAGTGAGTCATTGTAAAACCATAACGTATAATATTTTAATAATTAGTTCATTTACCTACAACTAAATAAATTGCCGAATAATATATTTTTTCTAATTGAACTTCCTAAGTGTCGCAATTAAGGCATAGATTAAATTGTAATGTAAGCAAATACTTCAAAGTTTGTTGGTATGGTATGATCGAAGCAATAACCTCTGTGCTGAGGTATAAATTATTTGTGAGATTATAAATTGGGGATTTGAGCTCATGTGAGCACGTTTATTATAAGTAGTTACCTAACCAACATCATATTGTATAATTACTAGTAGCTGTCAATAAAACCAGCACTTTTTCTCCACAACTTCAACTTTTTATTATATTATCATCGTCGATCAACAAGAAGCGGACACAGGGACATATAAAACGATAACTACTTTCGAAAATTTCCATTGGTCTTTCGAGCCGTTCATAATATCGTGACGAATCGTTATTTTTATACACATTTGGAGTTTATTCAATTCCACATAATATACCGTATTTTGCATTTTTATATATAAATTTCTCTGATTTCAAGTGATAATATTACATTCTTTAATTTGTACAATAAGCCGTGTTAGGAAGGTTAGCAAAGTTCATTGCGTTGTTGTGTAAGGTAATCTTGCTAAGACTTTAAAAGTTGAATTTAGGTCAAACTTATATAATTACATAATCGAAATGCAAAGATTATATACACAACAAGAAAAACTACGGAAAGAAAAACGAACGAGAGAATACTTAAACATTAAAAGACAGACACTTGATGAATTGTGGAACGACTTTGAAGATAAAAACACAGAAGTTGAAAAGAAGGGTTCGAGAGATGATGAATATTTTACATCTAACTTTTACGAACAAGTACAAAAAAGATATAAAGAAACGAAAAAGACTTAAGAGGAATTTATTAAAAATTTATTTAAGACTTTGATAAAAATTAGAGGAGTGGAAATTAGGATGGGAAAACTTCATCATTTATTGGAAGACGACGAAAACAATGAAGATATACAAGAAGATTTAAAAGAATAGATACAAAAAATAGATGCTTTAATAATGGAAATAACTGTGGACAATGAACAGGATGCTCTAGAAGAAGGTGAAATAAAAAGATTTTATACAATGAAAAGAAGGATGCGGTCGATCATAAAAGAAAATAAGAGATTAGGGGCGGAAGGATTCAAGAAAGACAAAATAATATTACCCAAAGTTACCCTATTTTAAGAGAAGGTATGAATCCTGGGTAACATTCTATGATATTTTTAAACGTTTGATACATAAGAATAACCAACTATCAAATGTGAAAAAAATCTATTTATATTAATAGACAGATAGATAAGGATGAATCTATTTATATTAATAGAAAAGATACTTCAGGCTGTGGAGATAAAACAAACGTCAGCAAAGACGCTGAAAACATTACATGATACCCTCCACGAATGCTTAGAAGCCATTAGTGGACTAGGTATAATGACAGAGTCCTGGAGCCCTCTTATAGCTAGGATAAGCATGTTAAAGTGGGACACAGAAACCAGGAGATTTTATGAAACGTCAATTCAAGACAGTAGGGACATTCCGACATATAAGTCAACACAGGAATTCCTACAAAGAAGATTCCAGACATTGGAAATGTTGGAAACAGAAAGGAAAGGAACAGATCACAGACAACAGGTAAAGAAGAATAGAACCTGTGTGGTGTGTCATGAAGAACATAAACTGTTTAATTGTACAACGTTTCTACGTCAACAAGTACGTGAAAGAAACAATATCGTAAAGGAAAAGCAATGGTGCGGTAGATGCCTACTGCACAAAAGGGAAGTACCATGTTATTCCTCTCACAGAGGTGCAGAATATGGTGGACAGTACCATTCATTACTACACATGTCAGAAAGTCAGTATGATAACAGAAGGCCACAAAATAGACCAAATTCTAGTGGGTCAGCTCAGTATGATAACAGAAGGAATTCTGAAAACAGAAGGCCACAAAATAGAATAATTCTAGTGGGTTAGAAGGTCCGTATGACAACAGAAGAGATTCTGAAAACAGAAGGCCACAAAATAGACCCAATACTAGTGCGGCCAGAGGTGACAACAGTTACGACGGATCATAAAGGAAGCAAGAGAATACCGTGAGCTCTTTAAGTCATCAGAATGGAGAAGTGCTACTTGCAACGGCATTAGTACGAGTAAGAGACCCAAAAAAAAGCTCACAATTGATGAGAGCATTGATTGACCAAGGCTCGCAGTCATCATTCATGACGGAGTAAGCGGCTACAAGTCTCGGAATAAAAAGAAAGGCTGTCCACGCTCAGATATCTGAAATTGTACTAGCAATTGTACTACGAAAAATCTACCGGAGGAGATACAAATGAAAGAAAAGAACCATAGGAACTTAGTCCTGGGGATCCAGATTTTAATAGGTTCAATAGATATTCTATTAGGAGCCAAAGAATATAGTTTGATATTACTGGATGAAGAGGATCGAACAAAGAATGGTTTGCTCGCCCAAAATATAAAATTGGGTTGGATAATGTCAGGGATAGCACAGCAAGAGGATATCCCTAATATACAAGTACTCAGCATGATATCTAGATGACAGATGGATGAAGATATAAAAAAATACTATGAGTTAGAAGAAGTAGATCAAAGCCATGCACTTTCAGTAGAAGAAAAAAAGTGTTAAGGATATTATAAAAGAACAGTAAAAAGGGATAACGAAGAAAGATTTGAAGTTGAAATATTCTTCAATTCTAGTACAAGCCTATTAGGGGGACTCACTGCAGCAAGCATATGTGAGACTTCTGCAATTAGAGAAGAAATTAGACAAACCTAGAAAAATAAGAGGTGGTATTGTGTGGTCGTTGTTGGTTCCAAGAAATATACTTGCAGTAGATTACAATAACTTTCAATAATTTTTTAAGTGACATGAAAATAAAGGAAGGTAGTCAGATATTTTTGAAACTCCAAGAGAACCAGAAAACAAAGGCATCAAGATTTTTGCATCCAACCTCATCCAACGCCTCGAAGACATACGGTATCACAACCTTTAGGTAAAACTTTAGAGAAAGCACTTCCTAGATCACTTTCACTTAATTAATTATTATATAGTTTATATAAATATAATTAGATTTGAATTATATAGTTTAGCTGAAACATAAATTCTTAATAATCAAATTATGGGTAGCACTGCTCGGGTGAGATAATAATTCAAAAACCGAGTGAATTAGTGTTATGATTATTGTTATATTATTATTTTATATTTTAATGTGTTTAAATATTTTCTATTGGTCGTCTGTTTTTTTTTATATAGTGGCCAATATGTTCAATCACAAAAAATAATCCCTTAATTTGTAATCTCACGTTATTCTTAACTTCTTAATCTTTTATTGTTTCACCGTGTATAAGTGAGCCATTATAAAACCATATCGTATAATATTTTTATAATTAGTTCATCTACCTACAACTAAAGAAATTGCCGAATAATATATTTTTTCTAATGGAAAATAAATAGTTCAAAGTTTGTTGGTATGGTATAATCGAAGCAATAACCTTTGTTCTGAGGTATGAATTATTTGTGAGATTATAAATTTGGGATTTAAGCTCATATGAGCACAGTTTATTGTAAGTAGTTACCAAACCAACATCATATTGTGTAATTACTAGTAGCTGTCAATAAAACTAGCACTTTTACTCCACAACTTTTACCTTTTATTATATTTATCATCGTCGATCGACAAGAAGCGGACACAGCGACATTATAAAAAGATTCGAACCTTATAACTACGTTCGAAAATTTCCACAAACAGTTTTTTTAACTAGTGAGAAATATCAATATTTTTGTTAGATATATTTTATTACAGTTTGTTATTATAACTCTTTTAGCAAAAAAGTTCTAAAGTCTATTTTCAAGAAGTACAAACATAATCAACAAAACGAAAACAGGAGTGGAACGAACATATCAGTAGAATGGCAGAGGATAGAATAGTACGAATAGCACGAGATAAGTCACCAAATGGACGAAGAAGTATTGCCAGACCAAGAAAAAGATGGTGCGACAATTTATGAGGCTAATATCGAAGAAGAAATAGGCTTTAAAACCTATATACTAGAAGGAAGAAGAAGAATAAGACATAATCAATCAAAAGCTTTATCGTCGCTGTCTAAATAGAAAATAAGAAAAGTGCCATTTTTTTTATTTACTTTTTGTCAACAATAATATTTATTAGTAAAATTAATATTTCAGAGAAAATGGTTTTCTTTGCAATTTTAAACTAAACCTAAGTCAAAAACTGCAATTTTTTATATTGCAACTATTGCTATATGACTGTATACATTACCAACGTATTCATAACTACAATTAATTAATTTAAAGATCTTACGTACCTAATGATTCTTCACTACTGCTACTGACTTTTTCCATTTCTTTTGGAACTGTAATAGAAGCTGTTGTTTCTACCAAGTCATCCAAACACCGACGCCAATATTGTGCACACTGCATAGCTTCTGTTAAGGCTGCAAATGTATTGTGGGCAGTAACTACATTTTTAATGAGATGGTCCTAAAAGAATAGATCGCACTTTACGAAATACTTAATATGAAATTTACGAAACCTAATATGTCAATTAATTATTACATGATTTAAACTGACTAATTGGCTTTTGTATATCTTATATTTTGTATATAATATATATATATATATATATATATATATATATATATAAGATATAAAAATAACCACTTAGTGTGGTGTAAAATTATCTAAGAGTATTTGTCGCTCAAGAGTAACAAGTGAGTTTAACTTCTAAAACCATAATTTTAGCATCAACTAAAAAGTTCTCACTCTTCTTACGACCTTAAAAACTTGAGTGTATTTTTGCCTATCTAACTACTTGCTTTCTTTCTGACCTCTCCTATGTCATCCTCCTCCGTTCTCTTAGGTTTACTGTTCTGACGTGATCGTCCACATCATCTAGCTAGCTCATTCTGCGCCTTTCCTTTTGTATTTATTTCTCTTTATTGTAATATTTTTTTTATTGTTTATAGTAAGACGTTTGAAATGGCATGATGCCCTTGATCCTGCACGCCTCCTACACCCTGCACTGGATCGTCGCAGCATACTTTTTGACAAGAAGAGCCCACGTTTTTAGCCAGTTTTACAGTTTAAATATCACCATTTCCTCAGATATAAACAAAAAAGTGCCAAATAATTGTTTGAAATTTGTTTTAAATGAAATGGAGAAAAATTATAATAAGGAACTGTACTTTGCTATGACAGTGCAGTGGGTTACTAGCTTTCATCTGTTATCTTTCCACATAAAAAATATAAACCAACATTTTTTGACAGAGTACCATACCATGCCATACCAATACCATACCATTCAGAATTTAAATCAGGTACCATTCAGAATGGTACCTGATTTAAATTTCCTAAATCGAGAATGGTTTTTGACCTGGTTACAGCACTTCATATACAAAGTATGTGAATTCGTCCTTCGAAAATAAAAAAAAATATATTGCGGTTAGTTGGAGATTGTACTGTATCAGCAATTGAATACTGCTAAGGTAAATGTATAGGTATTGGTTTTAGCATTACTTGCTAGGTGCAATGTATATACAATGTCTTAATGTAGCATTTTTGGCTTTGAGGTAAGTTCTTGTCGGAAAAACGTGATATGTCTCTTATAGTATACCCGGGATGATCTATAACAATTTATTAAAATGAGTGATATTTTTGCTGCTGTTACATCAAGACTGTTTTTTTAAAAGTTAAAATACGTAAAAAAATCAAGACTGTTATATCGACTGTTATATCGAGTGATTTTGTGACGACCACTTGTGACTACAGCAGTTACTGAAAAGGTTCTAATTTCCAAGAGAAATTAATTTGAATAATAACAATTAATATTCTCAACACTAAATACTCTACCAATAAATCAGAATAAATTAAAATATATCGAATTGCACACATAAAACCACAAGTGCTCCAAGCTTGCAAGGCTCTTAAGAAAAATATCGTCGAAAAAAGAAACCAACGAAAATGCGGCGACAAAATTAAGTGTCAATGTGAAAACTTATTAAAAACTTAAAAAACTTATTGAAAACAATTAAAAAAATAAGAAAACTAAAATGCTGAAAGATCGCATTCCTAGCGGAGTAATAAAAAACTTAGGCAATACAGATCAGGAACAAAATCAGCTATAAAATAAAAACAAGAAACTAACGTTTAAACTCACTACGTGAGGATAATAAGAATATCAGCTCTTATATCTATAAAACGATAGATGGGCTAACTCTCTCTAACAAAATATAAGGAGCTAAATAAAAAATATACCACAAACATAAACGATTACAACGCCTTGTTAGCAGAGACTGACAAACTAACAAGTGCCTCTAAAATCACCACAAACTTAAAAGCAACTCAATGCAGTGCCTTTACATGGGTACATCCCTCATATATGTGGAAAACGGAACTGCGGCTGAACAAATAAACATTAATTAAAAAAGTAACATACCTTTTTAGCACACGTAGGCTGTGCGATAAATACTTAACCTTAACGTCCGATGGCTCCACTATCTTAAGAGAAATCTACTATCGTGCAATACATTTTCTTAGACACAAATGTTAAAATTTTAGCCGAATCGGAGTTTTGTTTTGATTGCGTCTGAAAGCGGGCATGTCCGCGGATTTAAAAAAAAATGGAAAAAGGGCAATATCGGTAGATGATTCGATTCCTGTTTTTGTAACGAAAATTCATAATAAACATTAACAACAACGAAGAGAAGAATAATATTGTATTAGCGGTGGAAAATGATTAAAACCCTAAAAATGTAAAGGAAGCATTCGAAGACCTAAATTTATCCAACGGACGTCAAGAACCTGAAGTCAAGATTCGGTAAAAGGCCTCCCCCCACCCACATAGTACAAGTATAATATAATTATACCTGTAAATTATACCAAGATAGCAAAAAGAGGCAATGAGAAAAGTGAAAAATATATTGCATCTAAAAATGAGAATCGAAAACCTAAGTAGACCGACATGTAGCAATTCGATAATTGATAATCTTTTTAACATATAAGCAGCAGATATCACGCCCCCAGAAAGTGTGTAAAATGCTCTGATAAACATAGAGCAATAGAATATAAGTTTCTGTGTAAAAATTAATATGGACATTTGCCTTAAGAGGGAAACTTTCAACTTGGGGGATATTGCAATGAAACACCAACCAAAAGATAAACCCAAACTACACAAAAGACAAAATTAATAGGTTTCTTTAATTTTGGACTTTTTGTTTTAAATTACGTAAATGTCGATTTTCCAGGTTGGTGGAAAGGTAGAGATCTAACGAATGACCACCAAGGTCTACAGATTTATTCCTGTTTAATACAGTTTTTTCGTGGGGATATTTCAAGAGCAAAGTATATCAAAATCTACCGAATAATGTAAAAGAGTTGAAGGAGTGAATCAGAATTTAAATTGCACAAATAACTTCTGAAGTCATCGAAAACGTTAGGAAAGTATTTACTGTCTCTTTCTGATTTTATTGCTGCTAAATTTCGTCAATTTTAACACTTCATATAATTTGATATTACCTATTTTACTACACTTTATTACAAGTTAATGGTATTAATAAACAGAGAGTTTCGGCTAACTCTGTAGAGATAATTATACAAACACTCCAATAATTACAATAAATGAGGTGCCTGGTGACCTCGAACCTTTTTTTTAAGTCGTCTATTTCTGAAATCACGAATTTCTTAATAATATTAAGAATTTTATAATAAAACTGATGTACAAAATTTACTGTGCTTGTATATCAAAAACTTCTATTAATTAAATTTTTTTAGGATACGGGGTTAGTCAGAACAACGGAATGAATCAAAGTTGTGTTTTTTAAAAGGAACGCCATACATATTAAAACCCTTTTTGGAATATACTTTTTAAAAATATAAAGAGTTTGTATAAGGTTTTATAGGTCCAAAGTTATTAATTTTTGTATTTAGGTTTCCATGGTAATGAAAATGTTAATGACATGTTGAAGTTTTTCTAGTGTAGTACTATTTTTAAACAAGTTAATATCTTTGACATCCAGTCTCACAATATACATTGTGATCACTATTTTCAAATAAAAAATTGTCTAATTTTTTTAAATGGTATAACATGTATATTCATAAAGACGACACCATAGCTACCTTTGCAGATGACACTGCTGTCTTAGCAGTAAGTGACACCGTCGAAGAAGCTACAGAAAAACTATAAAATTCAATAAATAAAATTCATGAATGCACCAAAAAATGGAAAATTAAGTTAAATGAGAATAAATCAGTCCATATAAATTTTACCAATAAGAGAATTAATAATATTCCAATTAGAATAAATGATGTCCAAGTGCATATTGCAACATCAGCAAAGTACTTGGGGATCACTCTTAATGCGAAACTTCGCTGGAAAGCTCACGTGAAGAAGAAAAGAGAAGAACTAGGCATCCGCTACAAGAAAATGTATTGGTTGATGGGAATGTATTCCTCTCTATCCATAAATAATAAACTCCTAATCTATAAACAAATACTGAGGCCAGTATGGACCTATGGTTGCCAACTCTGGGGCTGTGCCAAGCCTAGTAACATCAAAGTAATCCAGGTATTCCAGAATAAAGTGCTAAGGAACATCGTAGATGCGCCTTGGTACGTTAGGAACAACGATCTTCACCGGACCTCAAGATGGAAGATGTCAATCAGATAATCAAGAAATTTGCAGGGAACCATGAACAATGACTTCATCATCATGTAAACGTCGAGGCTATCCAGCTCCTCGACAATACGAACCTAGAGAGAAGGCTCAAAAGAACAAAGCCTTTTGAACTGGTATAGTGAGTGAGTGAAAAGCAGAGCAAAGTGTTGTGCGAGTATGCATGCTAAATTTAATGCTAGTTATTAGAAATAATAGGAAAGATACTAGTGAGTAGACACCTAATTTTAAGTTTTCATTAGTAATTTAAGTTAGAAACAAATTGATAATTGGTCCTACTGACCAGATTTTAATGTAAGTACACTTCAGTGTCTTTAGTAAAAAAAAATGTATATTAATATTGTGTTTTGTAAACAATATCACAATATTTCTTTCGGTATAAGGTTTTACATGCCTTGCATGTTTTGTTTTGTAAATATTTAAAGAAGAACTATAGATTTTATGTTTTTAAATATTTATGATCAATAAATTTTGTGTACCTACTGATATAAAAAACAAAAATTTAAAATTATAATCTAGTTTTATAAACATAAATCATATCAAAAATAAAAAAAAAACAAACAGTCTTAAAAATTAGTTGAATTTACCTAATCGATAACTTATTTTCATAAATGTATTCTTCTTCACGTGCCATACCAGAGTTATCCGACATTGGCGATGACCACTGAGAAGATTTTTTGATATTCTGCCACATGGAATATTTCATTCGCGAATAAATTCACGATTATTATTTAACCAAGAAATCTGTGTTGTTCCTACACCGCTACGGCCTTTTATTTTGCCATAGCGGATCAGTTGTTATATTCTATAT